CATTCCTTGCCTCAAGTTTTTTAATTGATTCACATGTGTCTCTCTTAAATTTGTTTAAGTTTTTTCAGATAAATTTAAATAAGTATTTAATACTCTTATTATTTGTTTTATCTTTTCAATATATTTCCTTGATATAATTTTGGTTATACTTGTGACAACCCGTCCCAAATTTTACAATTTTATAATTTTTAAAGTGTGAATTGACAAAAATGCCCTGGAGGCGAGGACTTTGACTTCCATTGACCATCGTCTAGAGGAACATATGACTTATTCTTTTAGCATATTGGTGTAGTGCTTGTTGGTACGAATGCATAGGCGAAAGCTGGTTGTGGGTCCGGATTATAACGTTATAGTTACGGGCATTTGAAGTCGTTTTACTAAACTATAGAATTTTAAATTAATTAGAGCTCCCACCATGTGGGAATGCAAACCAATCAGATTTTTTGTTGTTGGTGAGCCAATTAGGCATTGGATCAATAAAAGAGAAACTCCCAGTATTCTCTTCCTGTGAAGGACACCCGCGACAAGACCCGGTGTGAAATTATGGCCACTTCCACCATATTTTCAGGTGAAATTCACCCATCCATTACATGTAACCTCTTTCATAACCTCCCCTATTCCATTTCCACCCAAACTTAGAAGAATTTGGATGAGGTTTGGTGGAAAAACCACCATGGGTGCCGCAGGAAAGGTTGCTCGAGATCCACCAAACCTAAAACAATTTTATTCAATTATCACTACCAATAGACTTCCCTTGAACTCCTGAACAAAGCCCAATAGGTTTTAGGGGCGGTGGAACGTCGAGGAGGAAGAATCGAAGCACACCCTTTATAGGGTTTCCGGTGGATTTTCATGAAATTGAGGTGTTTCCTGGCTAGATTGGACTTGGCCACATGTGTAAATCGATTCCTCATGTTGTGTAGATGAATTTTCATGTTTGGATCATGTGATTTGGTGGAGAAATGAGAAAGTTATAACGATTTAAAGTTTGCCCAGTTTCCGGCGACCTCCGCTACTATCGAGGCATTTTCCGGCCAAATCACGGCGAGATAGCCATTGTGTAAGGTACCAATCACTTCATCTCATTTAGAACTATGATTTTCATTTTTGAATCACTTGTTTTCATTGAGTATTGGCAAAGTTATGGACGTTGAAAGGTTGCCCAGAAATTCCGGCAAGTTACCAGTTTTCCCGCGGACAACCGTCTTTCAGACCATTTTTCGGCCACCTCCGGCCACCATTTGGACTCCAAGCTGGCGCCAATCATTCGGGACGCCTCAATGCGTATGCTAGAGAATCATAGCGTGGACTTTAGGTGAGTGGGTATTTTCCTTTTATCATAGGTATATAATTGATAGTTTCTCAAATGCTTCTAAAGTGAATTATGCATGTTACCTACAATTAATTAGTGTGAACTACGAATGGTTTGATCCCTATTTATGGTACGTATGCAGTCTAACGAGACGTTAGATGCAGCCATACAATAAATGAGACTAAATAACTAAGACAATAGTCTTGTTTAGGGAATTGAGTAATGTGAGGGACATTGGTGGAAAATATAAAATTGAACTTTATGATTTGGTGGTTAAATATTGGTCATAAATCAATGTATGAAGAATCAGGAATTTGAAGTAAAGAAACGTAAGTAATGGTAGTTAATTAAACTAGTATCTAGTTGGGCTTATCATTGATAATTATCTCCGAAAATAAGTAGTTCGGGAGTAGGGCGTTACGGATTATGCATTTCACGCCATGTTATATATATATATATATATATTTGAAAATACTATGTTATAGTTGAGTTTTAGATTGCATCATGACATATTTATATGTGTATTACCTGAACCTAATTATTGTGAATGCTTCGAAATACTAAATGATGCTACGGACGCCCAGGTAAGCTTCAGGTGAGTACATGTTGATGATAGTGGTGGTAGTGAGTATGTTGATGAGATATTGATTAACTAGCATGTTGATGAGATATTGACTCAACCGTACAGGTCACGTGAGGTGACTCCAGCTAGTATATTGATGAGATATATGAGGAGATATAAATAAAGTCGTACAAGTCCTTATAAGTGACTTCGACTTATATGCTAGCAATGATTAATGAGATATATGAGGAGATACGGATAAGTCGTATAGGTCACTAAAGGTTACTCCGACTGATAAGCTAGCATATGTGATGAATATGTGATAAGCTAGCATATGTGATGAATATGTGATAAGCTAGCATATGTGATGAATATGTGATAAGTTAGCATATGTGATGAATATGTGATAAGCTAGCATATGTGATGAATATATGATAAGCTAGCGATGAATATGTGATAAGCTAGCATATGTGATGAATATTTGATAAGCTAGCCTATGTGATGAATATGTGATAAGCTAGCATATGAGATGAAAATGTGACGAGCTAGCATATGTGATGAATATGCGATAAGCTAGCATATGTGATGAATATGCGATGAAATATATGATGAACTAGTATATGTGATGAGATATGGGTAAGTCGTACAAGTCACCATAGGTGACTCCGACTTGCGTACTAGTATGAGTTATTAATCACATGATTATTTGTTATTGCTGACGAGATAATGTGTTATGGTATATTTATGATTTTTCTAGAAATTATACAGGTGTTGTAGCGAGGAGTTACAATATTTTATATGGGTTCTATTAAAATTGTATTTACAGGGCCACTCACCTTTGTCTTGTCTTCACCCTCCAGGTTTTATTAGCTGAGCTTTCATATCGTTAAAGATTCGTGGTGATCCTTGGTATTGGAGATTATTTCAAGAGTACGATTCTTAATTCACTTTTCTGTACTTACTTATGCTCTAACGTCACGTGTGAAGTGAGTTCATTCCCGCTCACCGGTGCACTCTGGTATTTAGGCACTCTCAGGTTTAAATTTATTCACATTTTTCCACATCATCACACTTTATGGTTTCGTCACCTTCCAGGTGTCGGCCAGCACAGCTCAATTCGGAGTCCTAGTGGACATTCCGGATAGGGGTGTGTCAATACTTGTATTAAAAAAATTGGTTCTATGTAGCATTAGTATTATTATCATTTATCAAATGATTTTAGAATGATAACACAATTAGGTCATAAATATCAAACTTGTATTATTCATAATAATTATTATTGTTGATGTGTAAGATTACATTTAAAGTTAGGTTGGTCCTCCTAACTCCTTATTAAAATCCTGGCTACGCCACTAACATGAGGTGATGAAAATGACATGAGTTACATGCATAGAGATTGAGACTTAACAATACTGGGAAGGGGAATCATATTTTGCAAACAAATATAAGTAGCATTTATGCACATCTTTTTTATTCCCTTTTCTTTTTCAGAATGGCATAATAACGTTTGTAGAGTGTCAATAATAGTTTAATTATGAAAAATTGCATAAGATTCTAAGAGTGAGAAATGAAAATGCCAACAAGGAAGCCAATTTTTGCATGAATTAATCTAAAAAGAGAATTTAAAAACTAAACAATTCTAATCGTTAAACCACATTTTGAAATAAAACATCTTTGAATACACACACCAAGTCATCGACATCATGTACTAATGACTTTGACCTATTTACTAACAGACAGTACTACAAATGCTGATACAATGCATGACACATAGCTGCCCTGAAACTTTGACGTAGTAACAGAAAACCGTTTTACATTCTCACATAATAAGAAAAACACAGGTTTGAGGTTAAATAAGGGACACTTTGGATGCGGTCTCTAATTTCCAATGTTATTTGACTGAAACCCTTGTGGTTTTTAGTTTTTTATTGAAGTCCCTGATATTAATGTAATGTATTTCTATGTAGGTTATTATATTTTTAAATTACAAATAAAATTTGTAATTATTTATATTAATGAGATTTTAAATAAAACCCATAATTTATGGGATTAAAATATTAAAAATGAACTATACTCTCCAATATATTGTGTGTGTGTGTGTGTACACATGGGTACATTCATCAAAACTATAATCAAAAAATTATTGTACCAAAATATGGGTACATTTTTCAAAAAAAAAAAAAAAAAAGAATATCAGGTTTAATAACATTATTAAATTTCTTCTATTAAACTTGACATGGATACATTCTCAAATAAATGAAATAGAATGTACCCATATAAGTTAAAAAAATAGATTAGAGAAAACATTGAATGAATTTTATATAAAAAAATGGCGCGTTTTATATTAAAAAAAGGGTACATTTTTCATATAACAAATTGGTATATTTAAGAATGGGTACATATAAGATTGTACAAACTTATTCTAGTTTTATTTTTTATATTTTGGAAATGTTTGAATTGAAAATTAATGAGGAGTTTAATAAGGGTGTGAGTATTAAACTCTAAAAGAATTAGATAAAAATTATGTAACTTGCATGTAATTCATTAACATATTAATGCTAGAAACTTTGATCAAAATTTAAAAACTTATAAGGTTTTAGTCAATGAACATTAGAAACTAAGAACCAGATACCAATTTTTCCTACATAATTGCCCCAATTTATTTTAAATTGTAAATTTAGTCAAATGTTCCTCTATTGACTTCCTATTAATACAAGGAGTAATGCAAGGAAGACTAAATTTGTAAATTTATTTTGCAAACTAAATGATGTGTCATCAATAAAAAATAAGCATGTTTATCAACATTTAAGTAATAATTCAATCATCAACTTTCATGTTATTTAATTTACAAAATTTTATCTACAAATTTAGTCTTCCTTGCATTACTCTAATACAGGAATCATTTTCAATCTAATACGTCACATTTTTTTATAATTGTCTTTGTCTCTTAGTCCAATCATCTGACCCAAATTAAAGACGGTCATGATATTATCTCCCTCACTTTTTATTCTTAATCCCACCCAAAAATGACAATTTCAATATATTTGTCAGTCAATGCACGCGACTTTGACCAAATCAATCTCTTCACACCATGAAGGATGCTCTATATAAATGGATCATCAAAATGCACCAAGAGAAAGAAGCTAAAGAGAAACGGAGGAGGTAAATCAGAAGATGATGAGTACTTGTGATTCAAATAACATGGTTCATAAGGATCAAGATGCAAATATGCTTCCTGGGTATCGCTTTCATCCTACTGATGAAGAGCTTGTGAGGTTTTACCTTCGTAGGAAGGTGGAGAACAAACCCATTCGTCTTGACCTAATCAAGCATATCGATATTTACAAATATGACCCTTGGGATCTTCCAAGTATGCTCCTTAATCTCCTTCAGTTTCTAACTACTTCAAATTGTTTCCAACGTATCTGTTCATGATTTTATGTAGATACAACTTGTGAGTAAAGCATGCATGCAGAAAATTAATCCATTCGTAACTACAGTGAAATTACGTATTATTTTTTGTGTTTACTCAAATTTTGTTTCTCCATTTGTTAATGCAGAAGCTAGTGGTAGTGTTGGGGACAAGGAGTGGTACTTCTTTTGCAGAAGGGGACAGAAATACAAAAATAGCATAAGACCTAATAGGGTGACAAAGTCTGGGTTTTGGAAAGCCACTGGTATTGATAAACCTGTATATTCGGATGGAGACTTTCGCAGCTGCATTGGCTTGAAGAAATCCCTAGTTTACTATAGAGGGAGTGCTGGAAAAGGCACCAAAACCGATTGGATGATGCACGAGTTCCGTCTTTCAGCTAATTCAAGCAATAATACCTCTGACATCAAAAATAGTACTCAAGAAGCTGTAAGATTAATTCATCTTAAATGGCAAGTTGTAGTACTATATATTCAATATTCCTAGTTGTACATTTCTTACTCGATATTTGGCATTCATTAATAATCAGACTCTGAATTAGATTACACATTTAAAACGACCTAATATTTTTTTTAACCACCGATCGAAAACGACCTAATTGAGAAAATATTTTTTAACAATATAATATCTTGAAAATTTCTTTTGTCCATTGAAAAGTTTTTGTTATTCACTATAAAGATGGTATATGATTACTAATTAATTATTTTCATATGATTGCAGGAAGTTTGGACACTTTGCCGGATTATGAAGCGCAATAATACTTCGAATGGAAAGTATACATCAAATTGGCATAAGACAACCTTGAATCCCAAACAAAGTGTGGCTGACTCGAGTTCTAAAACATGCAGTTCTGAGTCAGATACAACTTTTGGTGCTTTGGCTGCTAAGGATCAATTTGAGAGGAGTCCTCTTTTCCGTAATGATCATATGTATGAAGGGAACCAGTTCTTCCCAGGCCAGCTGAGCTTGAAAGACGAAGTAATCGATCCAGACTCTTACATAAGCTTTCCGAAATCTCCAAATGAATATGAGATGTTAACATCGAACGGAAACTGGGATGAGCTCAGACCAATGGTCGACTGTGTTCTAAATTCATCACTTCTATTTGGTTATAGCTAGCTAGGTAGCTAGTAACATAGTTAGGGCAATAGACACGCCCACAAAGCATGCGGGACTTTTTTTTTCACTGTTTGATGTAATGCTTTTCTCTGCATGAATAACATATATTATCACAGTTCCTTTCTTTTAAGTTTCTATCAGTTGATTTATTAAAAGAAATTGTAGTAGTTTGACAAAATAAGCCTCCTCTTCTTGTTTCTTCAGAGAAGAAATGAAAACTCACGGGCATAGATAATTAATTAACATGTAGTTGAAGTCAATGTTTCTGTGTATTATTATTAATTTTTTATGATTTGGGATATAGACCTGCCCTCCCACTTTCGATGCCCTTACGTGCCCTCATGTTTGTGTGGTCATGGTTAAACTACGTCAACATTTTATATTACTTTTCATTTTTGTCTTATTATCTCTATAAAAATATATATAAAATGTTGACGTAGCTTAACCGTGACTATACAAAATAGGAAGGCACGGAAGGGCACACGAAGTGGGAGGGCAAACAATCCTTATCCTTGGGATATAAGGGGATCAGCAATAGTAGTATGGGATAACGTGCTATCTATTATTTGACTAGTTGTGTAGATTTGTAGCATCACTCGATCACTATCTTGTATTAGTTTGACTAAATTCGTTCTAGCTAGATGAAATTTCAATCTTACTTGGCGGCCAAAAGCCACATAGGCTATTGACTCCTTTTATTCATCAGTAGCTGCTGCAACCACGGGATATTTACTTTAAAACTATATTTCATTAGAAATGGTATATGGAAAGTGAAAGGAAGATACATCACACACAACTAAAAATGTGTTCTAACGTAGTGTTACTAATCACGTGTTATAATCCCAGTATCATGTATCATTAGTATTATGCTTAAGTTATATGTCTTATGCCCACAAAATATCAATCATTTTATAACACATAGATTAATATATCAAGTGACGATCGCAATCAAAAGTCTTAATATTAGTGAACGACAAGATTGATATTTTTATAGACTTGGACTATAATACATCATACAATGACAAAGAAAATTTATGGCTAATAACACTTGAAAGCTAGAAGTGGTATATAAATGAACCCAAAAAACCTTATAAATATGTAAATTAATGAACTTCTAGAATGATGAGTAAAAAGTCCCACCATATGACTACTATATATTTAAAGTTTGAATTAAGTTATATAAAAAAAGTTTGAGTACGTAGCGCTCTATGTCATTTTTTTACTCACCACGTTTTATCACCATGCCTTCGAGACAGATTTGTATATATGAGTTAAATTTTTGTGAGAGAAATGGTAGGTAAATATAATACAATTAGTCTTCTTTTGTTACAATCGCTTGACGACTTCCTTCATCAAGTCAGGGTTGGCATGTTGGAAATCGAACAGCTCCTCGAATGAAATGAAGCCGTTGCGATCCTTGTCGATCTCCTCCATTCGCTGGACTTGGTCCGGCAAAGAAGAGCCGACTGCTTTGAGTGCATCAGTGAACTCACTCAATGAAATCTTGCCATCGCCATTGTAATCAAAGCGCTTAAGCACATGCTCACATTCAGCCTTGGCATGATCATTAGTTTAACACGAAACCAAATAGTTGACAAACTCGTTTGAAAATGTTTTTAAAATAGCAAAAACGCTTTTGGTGAAAATATTTTTGGAATCAATTCTTAATAAAAATTCAAGTGAATCATGGAAAAGCACTTGAAGTGCTTCCTATAAGAAACACGTAGGCTTGTTTGGATGTGTTTTAAAATGTCTGAAAGTGCTTTTGTTTAAATTGATTTTGAGTTCCAAAAGCACTTTAAGTGCTTTTTGAAAGAAGCACCAGATATGTACTTCTTGCAGTAAGCACTTAAAGTGCTTTTCCAGGATCCACTTGAATTTTTATTAAGGATTGGTATAAAAAACATTTTCACCAAAAGTGTTTTTAGTCATTTTAAAAACACATCTAAACGAGCCCAGCTGGTGTTTCTTGCAGAAAGCACTTCCAAGTGCTTATAGAATTCAAAAATATTTTCTCTAAAAAACGCCTTCAGCTATTTTAAAAACACTTCCAAATGAGCTATTAAGTGATCGATTATTGATTAAGAGCTGGGTTGTTCTTGGAGCTGGTCTTAATGCTTAAGAAACGGATCATTACCTAGATACAAGGGAACCTTCTTCATATGGACATATGTTAACCGTAAATTATGTAGACAATTATTTTCTATTAGGGCCTTGACAATTTTCAAGTTACTTAGTACGTGATACCCCCATGAAAATAACCCCAAAATTAATCAATTACTAGTTAGCTACTGCCTACGTGGGTGGAAAGAAAACTTAAAAATTAGGATCTTGGTGATCTCTTAAGACTGAACAGAATTTCTGTTTAAGTTTAAAAGTTTAAAGGTAAGGTGCCACTCAGTACTAAGTCTAGTGATATTCCTCTTCACTTGTAAATATGAGGTCTTAGGTTCAAATCTCGTGGATGACGGTTCGATTCCAAATTAGGTTGCCTATTATGTGACTTAATCGAATTCCCCTTCTCCCTTAGTGTACTAAAAAATTAAAATTAAAAAAAAAAAAGTTTAAAGGTAAGGCGAAAAATTGCCACTTTTTATATAGTTTAGGGGGTAAATTGGCTCAAAAAAAAAAGTTTCGGGAAAAATTGACAATAAGGTAATAATTTAGGAGGAAAATAGCAGTTTAGCCAATATGATTAGTTTTAGTTTTGTAAATTAATAAAGTGTTTTAACTATGGTTAAATAGAAAGACACACAGCATGCTGAAAATACGCAACATAAATTCGTCATAGCAAATAAACAAGATTCCATAACATGAAAGCGGATTTTCCCGACGTAAATTGTTCCACAACTCGATCGTTAATTAGGGTGTTCATCTTTGGTGTGGTGAATGACCAATTAAATTTGAACATTTATGCAATCAGAGTAGCATTTGCTAATTTACACAAAACTTGTACGATCCCATCAAAGCAAAACTGGGGCTACCCTAACAAAATTAAAATTAATTATACCATAAAACAAAAGAAAACTACAACTCAGACCATCATCTAACGCAGAGAGTACATACCAAACTGAAATCTCATTCAGTTCTCTCAAATTTGAATTTGCCTTCGTCCGAGGTGGCCACTTGCTTCCTCTTCCTGGAAACCCCATTCTGCTCGTCTGCAAACTGAGCAGCTGTTCGCGCTCGTAGTTCTTCCAAGCTCTCACCTTCCTTTGCTCTCTCCAGAACCTGGAATTCGTAGGAACTGGTCATACAGCTGATTTCTACTGTATCAAGGAGGATTCACATGTCTAAATTACTTTCAATGCCTTACCAGATGGCGACCGTACAAATGGGTGCTCGAAAGCGCTTTAAGAGCATTTTCGGCCTCTTGCTTTGTGATGAACTCTACAAATGCAAATCCTCTATGCTGTCCAAACTTCATTGGCAACCGTAAACTTTTAATCTGCATACAGCAAGAAATCAAAGGCGATTATAGAATGACAATACATTGGTGTACTACGTCAGGTTGTCTATCATCCTACAAACACCATAGGAAAATTGCCAAAGGGGGCAAGGGCACGGGATAACACGGTGATGGCTCAAACAACGTCGCCTGGGGTTCACGGGATATCATTTTTGTCTAAAATTTACTGTTTAAGAATGTAGTAGAAAAATAATCAAACAAGCTGTGAAATTGCTTACTTTAAATCATAAGTACAAAATCTGCATGAAAAATATTAGAGGATCCGGAATCTGGTAAGTAGTAACTCATCAAAGTTTAGTAATTCACCTGGCCAAATGGACTAAATAGCTGTCTCAGTTCTTTCTCTGTGGCCTCAAAAGCTACATTTTTCACAAGTAGTTTTGTCGAGCTTTTATCCTTGTCAACCTTTTTAGGCACCTCATCTTTCTTGGCATGACAAAGTTGCAAAATAAGAGCATGCCCGTCCAAAATAGTTCCCTAGAAAATGGTAAATATTAATTGCAATGAATTTCCACAATTGTATACTGAATGCAGTAATTTTCACCAGATTTTGGCTTCACCTGTAAATCCCGGCAAACATTTGTGGCTGTCTCCACAGATTCGAACTCCAGAAAACCAAAACCCATTGAAACATTCTTCCCATTCTTCAAGTGTTTCTTCACCTGCATTTAGAGAAAAGAGGATATAGACAAGAAAATATATCAAGTAAAAGTACCGCTTCTAGGCAGCTGATTATTACCTTAACACTTAATAGTTTTCCCTCCTTCACTTGTCCACTAAAATGCTTTTTCAAACTCTCGTCTGATGTCCTAAAGCTCAGATTCTTGACATATAGAGATCGTGACTGGAGAATGTTACACAACAAAGACAAAATAATTATTATATTGGCTAGGCAAGACGTAACAGAACAAGGAAAATGTAAAAGAAAACAAAAATAAGCCACAGGTGTAAAAATTAGTAGACAAGAAATAGCAGCATAAATGTAAAGCTACAAGGAAACCCCCAAACGTTACCAGCTTTAATCTCTAACAGAATAATCAACTAAGTTTCGTCAACCAGTAAAAGTTATGCCTAAAGAATACACAATTTTGACATAATTGAACTTTAAATGGCAGTTAAACGTAAACACAGGATAAATTGCACAATATTAAAATTGCAGAATTTCTCATCAACAAACTAGAGTTTTGTCTTGTAGCAGTAACACAAACAATGCTTTGCATGGGTTCCTATTAGATGATAAAATCAAATAATTGAATAACATGATTACACATGCCATATATACACCATACACTTATAGTATACAACATATGGCTACACCAGCCATCAACTAAGGCAGAGCATTATAAGCTCGCATCGATAAACACTTAAGGCGTTTAAGTAGGGTCAGTTGGAACCCAGCCATAGTATGTATGTATGTATGTATGTATGTATGTAAAAGGCTCTATGGATGGCTACACCAGCCATCAACTAAGGCAGAGCATTATAAGCTCGCATCGATAAACACTTAAGGCGTTTAAGTAGGGTCAGTTGGAACCCAGCCATAGATGGTGGTCTCCTAGCAATACTAATTGTGTACAAAGGATTGTGAATATTCTTTAACTGCACTTAGGAAGTTAAGATGTGGGCACACCAAATTTGTTTGTCATAAGAATAGA